GTTCTCTGTTAGTTTAGAGATTGTGCTGAAAAGTAATCTAGGATTATTCTTATTGTTTTCTATGAGAGAGGAGAGATAAGCTGAGCGTGCTGTAGCAAGTGCTTGTCTATAGTCTGTAAGGCTCTCCTTCCAGGCGGACTGGAACACTTCTAGCTTAGTCAGGCGCCATTTACGCTCAAGTTGTCTGGCGTTCTGTTTTAAAGCCCGAGTGTTGTCATTATACCAGGGGGCGAGTTTTTTCTGCCTTACTATTTTACTTTTTAATGGGGCCACACTATCTAGAGTAGATCGAAAACTATTCTCTAAGAGCTTGGTCATAGCATCTAGCTCAGTAGGATTAGATGGACAGATGAGAGCGGCTGATAATTTAGGAAGGTTTCTAATAAAGCCACCAGCTGTGGAGGGAGTTATTGTCCGCTTGACACAATAACATGGTGATGAACGCACATTACCACTAAAGTGAATTTCGTAAGAGATTAAGTAATGGTCAGAGACTGCTGTGCTCTGGGGGAGAATGGCTAAGTTATCTATGTTTACACCAAAAGTCAGTATTAAGTCTAGAGTGTGGTTGTGGTAGTGTGTGGGCCCCTTTATGATTTGGGTGAAACCTATGGAGTCTATGATAGATATAAATGCCTTGCTTAGTGCATCTTGGGGATTGTCTAAATGGATATTAAAATCTCCGACAACTATTATTTTATTTGAAAGCGTTATTAGACTTGATAGAAACTCAGAGAATTCCTGTAAGAACTGAGAATACGGCCCTGGTGGCCTGTAGACTGTAATTAGTGTAAAGGAATTTTTATGTGTTCCTTGATCACTTATATTAAGAAAAAGAACTTCAAAAGAAGAGAATGTATAGCCTACTTTCTGCCTCACGCCTAAAGCTAGACATCAGTACTACTAACAATTTTTTGTGCTAGTTATGAAGAAAAGGACCATAATACACTGAAACAACATTAAGATAATTCAATGGTTATCATAAAGTTTTAACAGAAAAAATTCTCACATTTGTATGTTTCTTTGGTCTCTTGTTCCGTCATCTTGCTGGTTTTTCTCTTCTTATAACACTCTGTGTGGTGTGTCTCTGGAAACCTATGTTTGGAGCGCCATGTAGCTCTAACACTTCACCCTACCCCTCTATATCAACAAGAATCGGGAGACCCTACCCCTAGACGAGATCACGCAAAACAGAGGGGTAGGGCTGAGTGGTAGGGGCAAGGGGTGAAATGGGATTGGGCCTTAGTGTGAACGTGGTCACCCACCAGCACAGACCCCCAACTCAGCATCACAGAGGACGAGAACTTGTCCTTTTAGTTACAACACAAGGTCAGGCGGCTGAATAAAGCATATATGAAAAGTAGACCGGTGAGGAAAGGTAGTCTTTAAAAAGTATGTGCAGTTGTATTAATTCCCTGTTTTAATTTTTGTCGACTGCAGTCAGGTTAACTACAGATATCTTGTTGTATTACCTTGCCAAGAAATTGACTTGGTTGCCTTAAAATTATATGTTGTGTTGACCCATAACTAAAGTTTTTTGCAATATGCAAATAGATGGAGCCAGGAGCCAATAGGAAAGAAGTTAGTTTTACCCAATAAGATCGTGTTAACCAAACAAACATCACTGTGTTTCACTTAAACAACAGCTCACTGAGCTTCACTCAATTAAACACATTTGCAACTGTGATGAGAGAGAAACAATTAAAACCAACAGCAGCACAGGTTCAGTTTCTGAATGTGGTGATTTTAAAGCTTCCAACAGACTAAACTAAACGGCAGTAAGTTGATTCAACTCAAAGATGCCATTCGATCAAAAACGTCCTCTTAAAATAGTTGAGTAATATGTGGGATATATTCAGTTTTATGTACAACAGACTTAGTTTATTTGATTTAAAGGGTCTTTCTCCATTTGGAGTGAGAAACCATGTCACAAAGGTTTCACGACTTTAAAAGATGCTGAAAATATGAGGCACAGCTCCAAACGTCAGTATGTATATTTACTCTGTTGGCCTAAGATTAAATAATACATTTCCCTTATGATTTCTCTGATTTTTCTTTTTTATCCTGTTTCATAGTCGCTCTGCAAATGTAAAACAGCTCATCACAAAACCAATTTTCAACATTTGAGAAACCTTTTTAAGATAAAACAATATTTTAAAGAGGTTTTACTTGTATAAAACAGATTCATGTTTACTTTTTATATCATTAACATTATACTACATTTAAAAAATATGTATTTTATTAAAAAAAAATACATTTATCACAGAGACTTTGGTCACTGATGTTATCAGGACTCTTATGTTACATTTTAACAGTATTGTCAGCTCAATTAAACTGCTTTCTTCAGTCAAGACTCATCAGAGGAGAAGCATCTCAAGCAGGCATCCACACCTGCTCACTATATTTCTTTAATTTATTAAGAACTTTGTTTATCATGCAGCACATAACTTCTATGTGTCACTGGTGTTATGTGCTTTGATGGATGGGTAATTAAAAGTTTATCATAATAATGCCAAATATCATTTTTATTACTGATTTTAAATAGTTACACAAGGTCACGTGGACACCAGTGAGTCAGCTGACTTACAAAATCCTCAGTTTTAACCAGAATGTCACTGGTGTCACAGTCACTGGTGTTATATGAATGTGGTATAACACCAGTGACTGTGACACCAGTGACAGTAAAATATGTTTGGAATTAAGCTCTCCTTTTTACATATATGATAATAGGAGATGTTAATGGGCAAATTATTTAGTTTTGGGAAGAAAGAAATGGATTTTTAAAAAAGTATCCACCTGAATTCCCTCTCCAAATGGGGAATGACCCTAAGTCGGTCAGTTCTGGACAGACAAACATGTCTTGGCTGATTTGTTATGTACCTTTTTTTCTTTCATGTCTTCACAGTTCTCCATTCTGCTTCTCTCGTTATTCTCATTCATAGCATGGTTAGTGGAGGTGCGAGTGTCGGCGCCGTGTCCTGTGCTGATATTGCTATTGAGAGCTAATGAGAACAGGGCACGGTGCTGATGAGGCCGAACCACGTGATGGTTTTCTCTCTGCAATCAAATCTGAGTTCCACACAATCTCCTGAGCCTCCAGCTGAGGAATCGCTGAGACACAGAGAAGCGCTGTGGTTCTTCTGAATGTCAACGAGTTCTCACTCTCTTCATGTTCACCATGAACCCTACTAGATCCACGCTGTAAAAAATCGTTCGTCAATTCAACCTAAAAAAATACTTCATGTGGTAACAAGCAATTGAACTAGTCTTATTCAATGAATGAATCACTTACTCAAAGTGTTTATTTAGGTTGAATAAAACTAGTTCATTTAATTGTTACCACATGAAGTAACTTTTTTAGGTTGAATTGACGAGCCAATTTTTACAGCGTACATTAGGCTGAATGAAAAATTGACTCTAAATTTAGGTATTGTGATATAAACTGAGTTTGTTCTACAGTTTCTCATTAACATATACAAACCAAGTTCAAAAGTAGTAGGTAACAGTAGGTAAAATACCAATAACTACAAAAAGCAGTGATTTGTTAATCCACTTTGACCTGTTTTTAACTGAAAATAGTACAAAGACAAAATATATAATTTAACAAAAAATGTATTTTACGTTCATTATTTCATGTAAATATGCACTCATTCTGAAATTAATGCCTGCAATATATTCCAAAACAGTTGAGACAGAGCAAATAAAGGCTTGGAATATTGTAAAATGTTAAAAAAAAAACAAAAAAAAAAACTCTTAAACAGGTGATGCAGTCACATTTGGATATAAAAGGATCATCCAGGAAAGGCCGAGTCTTTTATGAATGAGGATGGGTCGAAGCCACTTTGCCAAAAATGCATCAGCAAAAAATCCAATTTAAAAAATAATGTTCCTGAGCAAGCAACTGCAAGTATTTTAGGTATTTCACCCTCTACAGTGCATAATATCATCAATAGATTTAGGGAATCTGGATAAATCTCTGTGCGTAAAGGGAAAAGCAAAAACCACAACTAAATGGCTGTGAACTTTAACCCCCTCAGACAGCACTGCCTTAAAAACCAACATGTTTCTGTGATGGAGATCACCACATGTGCTCAAGAATACTTTGACAAACTGTTGTCAATAAACACCATCAGTCACTGCATCCACATATGCAGGTTAAGACTGTACTCTGTACAGCAGAAATCACATATCAACGACGTCCAGAAACACCGCCGACTTCTCTGGGCTCGAGCTCATCTGAAATGGACTGATATTCAATGGACTGGTTGTTCAATCCATAGGGTAGTGGGTAACATATATATATATATATATATATATATACATATATATATATATATATATATATATATATAAATATAGATAGATAGATAGATAGATAGATAGATATGTATATATAATTTATAGATAACTTAATAATGGTCAACATAGCTGAAAAATACTGTGCAGGTACTTTTTCAGTAGCTGTGCTTCATCAGACAAATGGAGTGAGAGTTTTTTTCAGAGAAATTATCCTGTATTTCACAGCAGTCCACTTAAAACACCTTATATTCTGCTCCACAGTGAGGTAAGAGAAAGAGACAAAAAAACTGAACCGATACCCAGGGTTCACCTTGCAGCAGAGTTTTTATTTGCTGTATAACATTTGTCTTTGTTTGTATGCAGTCATTTGCTCTTGACCTTATTTTTATTTTTAAATAGCAATCTCACAAAGTGCTCCATGAAAATGTGCAGACTGAAGCCTTTAGCAAACTGTTTCCACCAGGTTGGAGAAAAAGTGTCCTGCTTGGAGGATGTCCAAAATTTGCTTTATCTCAAAAATATTCTTAAAATTTCAACTTGTATTGAAGTTGTGACATTTTTGAGGTTTTTGCTCAGTGTCGTAATTACTTGTTTTCTTATATGTTTGACTTTGTATCTTGTGACTTCTCAGTTATGTCCAAATGATGGCTTATTTTCTCAAAATCTTGACTTATCATCTTGAGATTTTTAGTGTTTGTCAAAAAGCAATGGCCTATTTCCTGAAAAAAAAAATGTACTTACTATCCTGAGATTTTTCAGTTCCATTGATATAATGGTTTATTTTCTCAATATTTCAAATTGCTTTCTTGAACATTTTGAGCTTTGTCAAAATAATGTGACTGATTCCCTCAAAACTGACGTTTTATCTCGTAATTTTTCAGTTTTGTTGATTTAATGGCTTCTTTTCTCAAAATGTTGACTTATTATCCCAATATTTTTCAGTTAGATCAAAATAATTATTTACTTTCTCAAAATTTGACTTACTCTCTTGTGATATGTCAGCTACAAAATCATGACTCACTATGTGAAAATCTTGAAAATGTTAGTCATTTTTCAAGATAAAAAGTCAAAGCCAGTCGTAAATTTGCTGCCTGAAACAGATGGAGGTTTTTTCTGTTACCTGCTGGAAAAAGGCTTCTATAAAACACTCTGAGACTTTTTATGGAACATCTCCCTACAGTTCTGCTTCTTAATGCTTTCTTCCAAGTGCTTGTGCGTAACATAATTTAATTCATTCTGTTATTGCATTCCTTCACAAAGTTTACTGCAGAAACCACAGAAACAAGTCTGAGGGCTAGCTGAGTATGACATCATAGGTTTCTTCAGTTCAGCCTCCAGATTCAGTTCCTTAGTCTTTTTCAGAGGTCCAGAACAGAGGATGTCATATCAGTATGAGGACTACACAAAAGTAAAAGCTCTGTGAAGGTTTGGAGGTGTAGTTGCACTCCATGGTTTTAACACACCACCATGTGGAGCATGACTACACATCCAGACCTGCACCAGTTGAGGTGAAGATGAAATGGAATTGATCTGCCCTCCACTGTGATTATCTGTTTGGAGTGGATTCGTGGCTCATGTTATCCAAAGAGGTTCGTCAGTTTGTTTAGATTGGCCTTCATGCCTTTTCAGTCATGCTTTAGGCCATGGTCAGCTGTGCAGATTAAGGGTGTGGTCATCTTGTGGGGATCTTTACGTCCTGGAGGAAGAAAACTTTGATGAGTGCGTTTGATTTGATAACATGTGTCATCAAGAAGGCCTAATTAGCAATACACCAACTAATGATTTACAACCCCATTTCCCAAAAAGTTGGGATCCTGTGCAAACTGTAAATAAAAACAAAATGCAATGATGTGCAAATCATTTAAACCATATAGTTAATTGAATATAGTATAAAGACAACAAATCAAATGTTGAACTGAGAAATTTTATTGTGTTTTGAAAAATATGTGCCCATTTTGAATATGATGCCAACAACATGTTCCAAAAAACTTGGGATGGGGGCAACAACAAGGCCGGTAAAGTTGTGTAATGCTAAAAAATTGCCAACAGGTCAGTAACATGATTGGGTATAAAGAGAGCATCTCAGAGAGTCTTTCAGAAGTAAAGATGAGGAGGGGTTCACCACTCTGTGAAAGACTGCACAAGCAAATAGTGCAACAATTCAAGAATAACATTTCTCAACATAAAATAGCAAAGAACCTTTGCTTTTCATCATCCACAGTACATAATATCATTAAAAGATTCAGAGAATCTGGAGAAATCTGTGGGACAAGGCTGAAAAACAGTATTTGCTGGCTGTGATATTTGGGCCCTCAGGCAGCACTGCATTAAAAACAGACACAGCTCAGAAACACTGCTGAAAAACACTGTCTTTGAAAACAGTTTGTCGCTGCATCCACAAATGCAAGTAAACCTCTAAAATGCAAAGAAGAAATCATATATAAAAAGGATCCAGAATTGCTGCCACCTTCTCTGGGCCCGAGCTCAATTAAAATGGACTGAGGGAAAAGTGGAAAAGTGTCCTGTGATCCGACAAATCAACATTTGAAACTCTTTTTGGAAATCATGGAAACTGTGTCCTCTGGGCTAAAGACCACTCAGATTGTTATCAGTTATAATAAGCTAAACTGCTATGGGGGGACTAAACTGCTGTAGGCTGAATGGGTGAGACTAAACTGCTGTAGGCTGAATGGGCAGGGCTAAACTACTGTAGGCTGAATGGGTGGTGCTAAACTGCTGTAGGCTGAATGGGTGGGGCTGTGTTGACAGGTTAGCTTCCATATGTTGGACTGTGTGGTAAACAAATCAAAACTAAAACTGTAAAAATAAGCTGTGACTGTTTTTGGAAAATAAAACCACACAAGTGATAAGCTTGTGCCAAACTTGGCTTGCTTATCGTTACGATCAGTGCCACAAACATGAAAAACGGTATGAGCTGCATCAGCTGTTTTTTTGTTTTTCTTGCTTATTGCTGTTATGTAACTCATGCAAAGAAAGGATCACTTCCTACACTGCAGCGTGTTCTAGGCAGCGGAACCTCAGACCACACATGCCACCCACTCACAGCAGAACGGCGTGAGAAGATGACACATGCGGCTTTCCCAGCCACAGACTTCTCCCATCACAGAGACTGACACACAGCACAAAGAAGTGTTGTTTGCATTGTTTGTGTTTACTGATATAATAATTACTATTATTATATTAATGATATAACATAATACAATAACAATGTTGGATATATATTGTTTATATGTATGTATTTGTATATATTTGTATATAATAATAATATAATGGAAACAAAACACATGGAAAACAATTTTAAGTAGTGAAATTACGCAGATACAATTGTAGTATCATGTCATATGTTTGATATAGTACTTTGCAAAAGTATTTAATTTCCAGTTAAGTACATGTTATTAACCTCAACAATCTTTATTCCAGCTTCCATTCTTTTCAGGAGACTCACTTTCAGTTTCTCAAAGAAATCTGCAGACACACCTCCAAAGTTCAGTCTTACAAGTTGGTTGATCATTTTCTGAAGTAATCAAACACATTCAGTGATGTTGAGGTCTGGACTCTGGGGTGGTCAGTCCATTGTTCAGCTTCTTTGTGTGATGTGTGTGTCTCCTTTTCTCAGTCAGGCTTCTTGGCAGCTACACATCCTTTCAGGAAGGATGGATGCTGTCCTGCTATAGAAGTCAGCTTCTTCAACCCTCTGTGGTCTGAGGTCATTTTCTTAAGTTGTTCATATCTTCTTATGACAGATGATGTGTATCTCAGCTCCTCTTCACAGCCTCATAACTTCGCATGTGAGTCATGTACAATCTTGTGATAAAATGGAATGGAAAGGGCAACTCTACAGATTAGCCACAGATTACAGTTTGCAGATATTTAGTGGAATCTGTTCTTCCATCTACCCGTGTAATGTCTCCTGAGCCACTTGCTTCCCCAAAGCATAATAGATCCACCCTCTGGCTTAACAGTTGGCACGGTGTTCCTTTCATCAGATGCTGCTTGCTTTTCTGAACATACCTTTGGTGATTGTGGCCAAAGAGTTCAACTTTTACTTCATCGGTCCATGGCACTTGTTTCCATAATGGCTGTGGCCCATCTTGATATGTTTTTTCATACTTCAGTTCCCCTTAACTGCCATTTCTCAGTGACACTTCAGGGAGTGGAAACTGTGAGCTGAATGATGGATCATTCTCAGCACTGCTTAATATCCTTTTATAACCACCATCTGCTTTGTATGCATCAATCAGCTTAATTTTCAGATCTTCAGGCAGCTGCTTAGAGGAGCCCGTGGTTGATGAGTGTTAGCAGGTTTGAAGAGTCAAGAGAGTTTATTACACTCTGGAAGTGTCATCAGCTGATAATTCTTACATGACAATTCTGATAATTCATTGCTGATAATTCATTAATATCATTCTCACATGATAATTCTTACATGATCTGCCTAACAAGCCCTAATGAGCTAATTAAGGTTAATATACTTAGGTTCTGAGACTTCACAACTGAAATGGTGTTCACGTGCCACTTACTTACACTTACCGAGTACTAGTGTTGTAGAAGTGGCCGAGATCACAACAAGACAGAAACTGTTACAGACTGTAGTCCATCTGTTTCTCTGCATACTTTGTTACCCCCTTTTACTCTGTTCTTCAGTGGTCAGGACCCCCATGGACCCGCACAGAGCAGGTACTATTTGGGTGGTGGATCATTCTCAGCACTGCGGTAACACTGATGTGGTGGTGGTGTGTTAGTGTGTGTTGTGCTGGTATGAGTGGATCAGACACAGCAGTGCTGCTGGAGTTTTTAAACATCTCAGTATCACTGCTGGACTGAGAATAGTCCACTTACCAAAAATATCCAGCCAACAGCGCCCTGTGGGCAGCGTCCTTTGACCACTGATGAAGGACTAGAGGATGACCAACACAAACTGTGCTGCAGCAGATGAGCTGTCGTCTCTGACTTTACATCTACGAGGTGGACCGACAAGGTAGGAGTGTCTAATAGAGTGGACAGTGAGTGGACACAGTGTTTAAAAACCCCCATGGACCCGCACAGAGCAGGTACTATTTGGGTGTTGGATCATTCTAAGCACTGCAGTGACACTGTTGTGGTGGTAGTGTGTTGGTGTGTGTTGTGCTGGTATGAGTGGATCAGACACAGCAGTGCTGCTAGAGTTTTTAAACACTGTGTCCACTCACTGTCCACTCTATTAGACACTCCTACCTTGTCGGTCCACCTTGTAGATGTAAAGTCAGAGATGATAGCTCATCTGCTGCCGCACAGTTTGCGTTGGTCATCCTCTAGTCCTTCATCAGTGGTCACAGGACGCTGCCCACAGGACGCTGTTGGCTGGATATTTTTGGTTAGTGGACTATTCTCAGTCCAGCAGTGATACTGAGATGTTTAAAAACTCCAGCAGCACTGCTGTGTCTGATCCACTCATACCAGCACAACACACACCAACACACTACCACCACAACAGTGTCACTGCAGTGCTGAGAATGATCCACTACCCAAATAGTACCTGCTCTGTCAGGGTCCATGGGGGTCCTGACCACTGAAGAACAGGGTTAAAGGGGACTAACAAAGTATGCAGAGAAACAGATGGACTACAGTCTGTAATTGTAGAACTACAAAGTGCACCTATATCGTAAATGAAAACAACGATCTCTGTCTTGTTGTGATCTATGTATATATATATTTATGTATGTATATGTATATGTTGCTGCTGTCAGAACAAAACTTTATATCTCCAAAATAATAACTTTACAGGAGAAGGAAAAAATATATTTTACTGTAACTCAGTGGAACCAGACATTTTTCTGAGTAATTTTGAGCCATTTCTTTTGGTCCATTCATCATGAAATTTACACATAATATAAAGGCCAACTGGTATTTCCAAAGTATGTCAAAAATACTATATATACTATATATACTATATATATATATAATAGTCTTACACTATAGTGAATTGTAACTGGAAGTTCTTTCTTCTCTAAAACTTTATCAGAATCATCTAAAGTCAAACGAGCATGAACCAAAATGAAAGAAATACAGCATTGAAGTTCTGGGCTTCTGTGTGAGAACTGAAAACAAGTACCTACAGCTCTGCGCTGTTTAATCAAATGAAGCTTTGAAATCCAGTGATGTAGTTAATGTGTGTCTAAACCTGCTGAACTGAGTTGAATTGTGTCTGTGGCTTTCCTCTCCTCAGTATCTGTTTAATGAGCTTGTCGTTAGGTGAGTCAGATAAAAATAATCAGATTGCTTTTGTGGTCATTTGGGCGACGAGCTGCAAAAGTCTGTGAACCGCTGATGCAGTGGAAGGACTATTTATTTTCATTTTGTTGATATTCAATAATAATTCACTTTCCAGTTCCCTCAGATGGAGGCATCACAGTCAGGTGGTCTCCACAACAATTTCCGAGTCTACCTTACCCCGAGACGAGTCCAAATGAGACCCCTAGTTTATGATGTTGAAGCCAGTCTCAAATTCTATTAAATTTTTTCTATTTAGTACATTCATCACACATAAAGTAACCAACATTTCTACTTACTTTCAAATCTCTGCAGCTTCACTTGTGGTTGTTGGGGTTTGTGTGATGGCTTCTGCTCTGTTACCCTGCAGAGAAACTTTGGAATTGCTCAGTGTCCCTGGACTGAGGCTGGACAAACAGGGGCAACACATCCTCAGGTGCTTATAAACTCTACCAAGGCTCGCCCGCTTGATCTTCAGGAGGTGCAGAAGACTGTAGAAGGCAGTGCGGTAGTCAGAGCTGTGGCAGTAAATGATGGGGTTCAGGCCGGAGTTGCTGAAGCCCAGCCAGTTTAGAACTATCATGAGGATTCTATGAAGGTCTTTGTCTCGATCTTTCTCCGTTAAGGGCACCATGATGTTGGCAACAAAGAATGGCAGCCAGCACAGTGTGAAGATGCCCATGATCAGGCCCAGAGTCTTCAGGGCCCTGTGCTGATGGACGATATGCCTGGTCGACCTTCGGTTTTGGCTCCGACTGAACTCTGCCTGTGCTGTAAATAAAAACGTAAATGCAAATAAGCTGTAAATAAACTACTATTACTATTTTGTGATTATTATTAGATTTACAGCAAATATACAAAATGATACAAAGACAAAACAATGTACAGACACATAAAATCCAACATATTCAAGATATTACACAGAAAAAAAATCCAAATTATTACAATATATTTTTGCAATGCATGAAAATGGCGAAGAAATGTATTTTTTAAATATATATTGAAAATGTATTTATTGATATTTGTTATTATATTTGCAACACTCGCTTTTGTCATGTTAAAGGTTAATTTGCTAATATTCAAAATGAAGATACTAGAATACAAATTCATGTACCTGCTGACGATTCCTCGGTGAGCTGCCGGTTATCGCTGACGTTGAAACGCAGTCTGTCTTTTTTGATCATCTTCACCTGCTGGTTTGCGATCAGAAACACGTGACCGTACACGAAGAGCATCACCAGCAGAGGCAAGTAGAAGGTGATGACGGAGGAGATGATGGCGTAGGTCGGGTTGAGGATGAAGTCGCAGCAGCGTTTGTCGTTATAGCACTTTTTGGTCTCCGTTGAATTGTCGAAAGCCTGAGAATAATCGCCCATGATGGGGACGAAGGAGATGAGAACTGAGATCATCCACACGACGCAGACAACGATCAGGGCTCTACACTTATTCAGCAAAGCCTTATACCTGCAAAGAAAAAAGGTATTATCTCTTTTTTTATTGGTAAGTTAAAGAAAGATCTTTGCATATATTATTAAAAGTTTGGTTAAGTGGACCTTGCTGGTGGTGAATAGATCTACTGTTATTCTAAAAGACAGGGGACAAACCGGAGTGTCTGTAAATGAGATCTACTGTTATTTTAACAGGCAGACAACAAATTGGAATGTCTGTAAATGGGATCTACTGTTATTCCAGCAGACATAGGACAAATTGGAATGTCTGTAAATGGGATCTACTGTTATTCCAGCAGACAGAGGACAAATTGGAGTGTCTGTAAATGGGATCTACTGTTATTCCAGCAGACAGAGGACAAATTGGAGTGTCTGTAAATGGGATCTACTGTTATTCCAACAGACAGAGGACAAATTGGAGCATCTGTTAACAGGATTTACAGTGTCTATAGTGTTTATAATTTCTAGTGTCTATAGGGTCTATAGGGTCTATAATGTGTATAGTATTTACAGTTTTTATAGTGTTCATAATTTTATAGTGTTTATAGTGTCTACAGTGTCTATAGTGTTTATAATTTTCTAGTACTTATAGTGTCTGTAGTATTTATAGTGTTTATAATGTCTGTAGTGTTTATAGGGTCTACAGTGTTTATGGTGTCTACAGTGTCTATAGTGCCTATAATGTCTATAGTGTTTACAATCTCTGTAGTATTTATAGTGTTTATAATGTCTAAAGTGTCTATAGTGTTTATAGTGTTTACAGTTTTTATAGTGTTTATAGTGTTTATAGTGTTTATGTTGGTTGAACTGCAGCTGAAACGCAGTTAGTGTGTTTGGTGATGCGACTGATGTGGTAGAGATGTGGTTTAACCGCTGTCCCATAGATTGTTTAGGGGGAGGTGGGTAGGAGTGCACATTAGGTTGCAGTGCATGCTGGGGATTGTAGTGCAGGACATTGTGAAAAACAGGCTAAAATGAATAAAAAAGTAATAATAATTTCCCGGGCTGGATAGGATTGTGTTGTGGGCCTGATGTGACCCACAGGCCTTGTGTTTGACATATGGGCTCTATTCCTTCTGGAGGTTCTAAATACATTACTGACTGTGAATATGAACTGTAGTCTAAGCAGGTTTGGTTAGTTGTTAGGAATCTAAAACAGCAGCAGCAGCTCTATGCCAGAACTCTTACATACAAGCTCAGATATATGATAATGTCTGTCACAAACTACATGGTTTACCAATAGTAATTATAATACCAAGAAATTTACTTATTGTGATTTATGATATTAGATATAATGCGTGCAATAATTCAGTTGGCATCTCTGTCTGTTTTAAATCATTTTTTCATTAAAAAAATTAAATCAGACAAATCAGGTATTTTGACATCTTCACCCTTGAATAAGTTTACTCACCGCAGTGGTCTGGTGATGGCCACGTATCGGTCCACAGCGATGGCACAGAGTGTCTGCGTGCTGGCGGTCACACAATGAACGTCCACTGAGGTCCAGAGTTTACAAGCCGTCTTATCCAGTGGCCAGTTTCCAGTCAGAAGCATGGCAAAACTCATGGGCTGGACCACACAGCCCACAATGAGGTCAGCGCAGGCCAGGGATGTGATGAAGATGCTGGTGGTGTTCTGGAGCTGGGGGGTCCGCACCACAGCCAAAATCACCAGGAGATTTCCAGCCACAGTCACAAAAATGACCACCAGCATAGGCAGGATAAGGAAAGGTGACATCGGAGCATGGTATGAGTCCCAGGTGGAGTTGTTCATTTTCTGCAAAAGCCAGGAGTGAAAAGAGTACTAAAAACTCCTACTCAGTAATGCTGCTGCTGTAGTGATAATTCACTGGATTACAAGTAAAAGTAGGCTGCTGCAACTTTTCTAGCAGAAATCTGTTATAATTCACAGCAGTGTTGTACTTTTATACCTATAACATGAACAGAACATGACACTAGCGTAGAATGCTGTGGGTGGCAGATGATTAAGAGACTCCATCAATAATATTTAAAAAAAATCCATCAGTAATATTTTAAAAAATACGTACGTTCAAATCTTTCCTGAAGAAACCACTGTAAATGTAACATGCAATATAAACACATGTTACCAGATTGCATGATATAAAGGTTAAATGTCCCTGTTTAAGCTAAATAACTGCTATAAAATGTTAATGTGCACTGCTGTTAGTTTGATACTAGCATAACTTCAAATTCAAATTCCACTGGGGCTAAAGCAAAGGCACAAAGGTAAAAGGTAAAAAAGGCCTATAAGGCCAATTCAAAGGTTTTTGCATTTGACATTGCTGTGTCACATTCATAGACTTTCAGTGTAAACAGTGTAAACTTAATATAAACTATAACTTAAATTTAAAAAATACTGTTAATGGTATGAGAAACCACTAAATTAGGTAATAACACTCTTAAAAATATGGTTCTTTAAAGGTTTCTGTAGTAAAGACAATGGTTCTATATAGAACAATTGACACTCAGTGAAACCTTTTACATGATTAAAGTAACTGTCCTTCAGACTGATGGAGAATGTGTTGTATTTTGTTGTAGGTAGAACCTTTTTTGAAAATAGTTATATATAGCACCAAAAAGGGTTCTTCTATTGTTACAATGTCAAGCTTGTTACAATAGAAGAACCATTTCTGGTGCTATATAGAACCATATACAACACATTCTCCATCATTTTGAAGAACTCTTTCACCGTGCAAAGATTCCTTTAAGCATGCAAATGGTTCTTTGAATGTTCACAGTTCTATATAGAACCATTGTCTTTACTTAAAACCCTTAAGGAACCATCTTTTTTAAGAGCTTATTGCTACTAAATGTTTTACCCTGCTAACGCTTAAGAAAGCATGGCTCTGTGTAGGCTGTAGGTTTGCTTTATTCTAGTGGTTTTATATTTACATTGCATTCGTCTGATGAAATTTGCACCCTTGGCTATTAATAAAGAAAAATACAAAAATAAAAGTAAGTACTGATAGAATTGGTGATTTTTTTTGTTTAAAATGGTTCAAACATGCATGCTAACATTGCTAAGAATAAACTGAAGCTTAAAATCATGCTAATTTGTGACTACTTGCTTTAATTTAGTGCATTAAGTAGCATTAGTATTATTGACTGAACAATTACTTTGGGCTATTTTCTATTTCTGTTTTCTGTGCCAGTGACCTGTTGTGTCTACCAGGGTTCAATTCTTAGGCTGCTCTTATTTAACCCCTTCAAATCCCAGGCTTATTACATACTAAGGCTTATTATTAAATAACTACAAGGACTTCAATACAAACTGGCTGAGCTGTTCTTAGGTTATAGAAGTGTGTTATAAAGCCTTGGGCCTGCTGGTGAACCTTGGCCTTTTAAGGGTTAATTTATACATGCTTCATCTTGCCAAATACCATAAGACTATTCAGATGATACTCAGATCTACTTGGCCCTCTTTCCAAACAACTATTGTCCCCTTGATTCACTTTGTGCCTTAACTGAATGGGACAAAACTTTCTGCAATTAAATCAAAATAAAACAGTTGGTTTTATTGGAGAGTAGACCATTCTCACACTTCTGTGTTTGTTAATGTGGAAGAGTAAATAGCAGCATAAAACGGCTTCTGGTTGTGCTGTAAACAGTGGCTGATGCCGCCCAGAATCATTGCTGTGTTCTAAATACACCAATAATTCAACCAAACAGCCTCACCTGAGTTTCCACTCAATCAAGTTTAAAAGTGATCAACATCAGCTGAAAAGTTCCACTCGTCATGTGTCACTTTTAACGAGGTAACCAATCAAAAAAGTGTAAAACTGAGAGGTTTGGTCACAGAGGTTTGATTAAAAACCCTGAGAAACAAACTTAGTTTACTGTAATGTAGAAATACGATGCTGTTTCTCTGAGCTGGTTGTGCTGTTCTTGCTAATGTTGCTAATGTTTTCCTGGGCTGAGTGGGAGGAATTAAACCTTGTGGACTTTTTCTCCTCCAAAATGAAGCACAATGAGTACAGATCTGTTTAGGGTTGTGAGATGTGGTGATGAGCATAAAGATCCGATCGCTTTGCAAAACTTCCTCACAAATCAGATGCGTGTTGGAGGAAGTACAGACACCCCAACTGCTCTCCTGTTAACTGCACTGAGGCCGAAGGAAGATTTTTGAGGGAGTCTAAAAACCGGTGACCCTTCATCGCTGCTCTGTTAAATGAGGCAGGCGGAAGTTCAATAATGCTACTGTTTACAGGCGGATGTGATGACGCAGTGACTGAGAGAAAGCGAGGCACAGACTAGCTGCCTATGAGAGCTGTAAAATCTAAAGAACTAGTATGTAACCTTGGTGTACAAATGAAATCCTTACACTGGCTACCAGTCTCTTCCAGAATAGACTTTAAGATGCTGTTACTGCTCTATAAATGTGTTAATGGTGCAGGACAGCATATTTATCCGATCTGCTGCAGCTATATGAACTGAGCAGTAGCCAGCCAACATGGGACCCCCTGAATACCAAGGGTATTTTGCACACTGATATTAGTTAAATTGGCAAACAGGCACTTGAACCCACCATGCAAAAGCCTGGGGGTCTTTACACACACTACACTACATTAGTAAAAGCATCTGCCAAATGTGTAAATGTTAACTTTTCATGTCTGGCAAACAGCCTGTGAAAAAAAAAACATTAATAATCAGTTATAACACACAAATAAAAAAGGACAACAGTAACCTGATGCTTGCCAAATAGTGAGTCCTTATTCTTCTTCACAGTTGAAGCTCAGATGTTGCCGGTTACCGATTTCATTATGTTTTCTCCATCAGTCAGCATTAAACCTGCCAGCTTCCTCATTTATTTATATTCATATTTATGTTCACTCTTTTTATTTATGTGTTATAACTGCCTAATTAATAACTGTTAATCAGCTGATTTTAAGCTTTTTCTGAGGGCAGTCTTGCTTTGAAGTCGTAGCCAAAATGAAGAATCAGATTAATTTTGTGTGATGTAATCTGGGTCACTGTGTCAGCAGAACTTCAGCTCAGTGCCGGGAGAGATATTGGGAGATATAATCTCTCAGCTGCTCAATCAGACAGCAGAGATGTTGTGGTTCCCTGGTTCTTAAAGCCTCTTTGATGTTCAGATGAGGAACTTCAGCGCTCTTCACCCGCAGCACTGCAGGCAGTCTGACCCACATTCACTGCAGACGACTGGAGCTTATCTGACCTCACAGGCGCTCCATCATCTCATCAATGGGAACAGAGCGAGTTAGACTAAAAGAGAGAGGGCAGACACCATCACTCAGCAGGAACCTACACTGTATCTCTCTCTCTCGCACACAGTTTCTCTGTCTCTATTGCTCCCCGTCTGTCTTTCTCTCTCTCTTCTCATTTGTATTGCACTCTCTCAATCTGACTCTCTCTGTTTCTGTTGCTCTCTCTCTCAATCTGACTCTCTGTTTCTATTGCTCTCTCTCAAGCTGACTCTCTGTTTATATTGCTCTCTCTCAAGCTGACTCTCTGTTTATATTGCTCTCTCTCTCTCATACTGACTCTGTTTCTTTTGCTCCTCCACCTCTCTCTCTCTCTCTCTCTCTCTCTCTCTCTCTCTCTTTCTCTCTCTCTCGCTCTCAATCTGACTCTGTTTCTGTTGCTCTCTCTCTCGGTGCGACTCTCTCTGTCTCTCTGTTTCTATTGCTCTTTCTCTCAATCTGACTCTCTCAGTCTGGCACTCTCTCTTTTACTCTCTGTTTCTATTGTTCTCTCTCTCTCTCTCAATCTGACCCCCTCCCCCTTCTTTATATAGTCTACCAGTTAAAACGTGTCTGCCCATAGAGGGTTCTTTTTACTACTTTCCTTATTTAAAATAATAGTGAAGATATCAAAACTATCAAATAACATGACAAAAAAGATTACCCCCCCCACCACCACCACACCCACTTTGCGTTGATGCAGTGTTAGACACACTCGGTCGCTTTATGAGGAGACACCAGAGTGTGAGCCATTGTGTGTTCACTCTGTGGAGATCATGTGAAATTGCGTTCACATGATCTCCACAGAGTGAACACACAATGGTGAATGCAGTTCACGATCTTCATCACCAACATCCAACGAGTGTCTGCATGTTCCAACCAAATGAGTGTATATGTCATATGTATCATGTATCATATATATGGTCAAAGGCTGTATATCATATACATCATATACAGTCAAGGAGTGTATTTATCATATATATCATATACACAGTCAATGAGTGTATAGCATGTTGCCCAATCAAACTACTCTAGAATGTTTTCCTTCCATTCACATCATTCAAAAATGTTCTCCCATACATACTGATCTAGAATGCACTCCCTATTCATACTGTTCTAGACTGTTCCCATTCACACTGTTTTAGAATGTTCTTCCTCATTTACACTCTTCTAGAATGTTTCCCATCCACGCTGTTCTAGAATATTTTCCCTTCATTCACATTGTTGAAGAATGTTTTCCACATTCACATCTGTTCTAGAATGTTCTCCTCAACACTATTCTAGAGCATCTGTCACATTCATGGTGTCCAAAAATGTTCTCTCTATTTACACTGTTCTAGACTGTTCCCATTCACACTGTTCTACAATCTTTCCCTTCCATTCACATCATTCAAAAATGTTCTCCCATTCACACTGTTCTAGAATGCTCTCCCTATTTAAGCTATTCTAGACTGTTCCCATTCACGCTGTTCTTGAATGTTTTCCTTCTATTCACATCATTCAAGAATGTTCTCCCAATCACAGGGTTTTAGAATGTTCAGCTCGACACTGTTCCAGAATGTACTCCTCATTATTGTTCTAGAGTGTTCTTCCTCATTTACATTCTTCTAGTATGTTCCCCATTCACACTGTTCTAGAATGTTTTCCCTTCATTCACATTGTTGAAGAATGTTCTCCACGTTTACATTGTTGAAGAATGTTCTCCACATTCACATCTGTTCTAGAATGTTCTCCTCATCACTCTTCTAGAGCATCTCTCACATTCACACTGTTCAAAAAAGTTCTCTCTGATAACACCGTTCTAGACTGTTTCCATTCGTGCTGCTCCAGAATGTTTCCCTTCCATTCACATTGACCAAGAATTTTCTTCTCCATTCACACTGTTCTAGAATGTTCTCCCTATTTACACTGTTCTAGACTGTTCCCATTCATGCTATTCTAGAGTGTTTTCCTTCCGTTCACATCATTCAAGAGTGTTCTCCTCCATTCACACTGTTCTAGAATGTTCTTCCTATTTACACTATGTTAGACTGTTCCCATTCATGCCGTTCTCGAATGATTTCCTTCCATTCATATTGTTTAAGAATGTTCTCTCATTCACACTGTTCTAAATGGTTCCCATTCATGCTGTTCTAGAATGTTTTCCTTCCATTCACATTGTTCAAGAATGTTCTCCCATTCACACTATTCTAGAATGTTCTCCTTCACACTGTTCTAGAAAGTTCTCCTCATTATTGTTCTAGTGTTCTATCTCATTTTCACTCTTTTGAAATGTTCCCCATTCACGCTGTTCTAGAATGTTTTCCTTCCATTCACATTGTTCTAGAATCCTCTCCCATTCACATTGTTCTAGAATCCTCTCCTCGACACTGTTCTAGAATGTTCTCCTCATTATTGTTCAAGTGTTCTCTCTCATTTACACTGGTCTAGAATGTTCCTCATTCACCCTGTTCAAAGATGTTCTCCCTATGTCCACTGTTCTCTGATGTTCCCCATTCAGACTGTTCAAGACTGTTCTTATTCCATTCAAACTGCTGTAAATGTTCTCCCTTTGCCTCCTTCACCAAAATTTTTTGAAAGTTCCCCATTTACACTATTCAAAACTGTTCTCCCTATTTACACTGTTCTAGACTGTTCTTCCTCATTTGTGCTGTTCAAGACATGTTTTCATCTCATTCAAACTGTTCTAAAATGCTATGCCTTCTTCACAAAAAAATGTAAAAATAATAATTAAATTTGTTTTATTTTTAGTTCTTCTTTCTGTACTGCAGATTTGCCTGGAAATTTGCATTTGAACACTGAACAGCTGTATGATGAGTCTCTTTGACAGTAACTTCTACTCTTTACCTTCACAGATAAACACCAGTTACAAAAATCAGCGCCACAAGACGTTCATCAGTGCTCAACCCTTCACTGCACTGGAGAACTCTAGAGTACATTAGCCTAATGCTATCATTGCACTTTAGAAATTAGCATGTTAGCATGAACCCTTACAGTGAAAACAGACTCACCGCCGCTCTGTCTCATTAGCGCTCGATCGTCACCGTGTTACTGTGTTGAGAAAACAGATGACTGAGATAGTTTCAGACCTTATCTGTCATGGTTATCCTGCAGAAGAGTGACTCCCGGGCGGTGTTGTGTGTTGCGAGACCATGACTGTGGTGTGTACGAGGTGTTCTAATTTCACATTTCTACATCCTGTGGTTTCTCTGTCAGAACAGAAGTACAGCTCAGTGAGTGGCACGAGCTGAAGTTCACAAAGTGAGAAAGGCTGTTCGTGCCAAACTGTTCAACGGAAAAAGTAAAGGGCAGGGTATACCGCAGACGCAATCACAAACACAAAACAACACAACACATACAAACAAAATCCAATAAACGCCAATGAACGCAGACACAAACAATGCACATACAAACACAAATAAACACCAAGAAATACCAGCAAACACCAGGGAACACAAACAAACAAATAGTAACAAACACAATTGAACACGAGCAAACTTAAATAAACACCAACAAACACTAAGAATACCAACAACATACAAACACAAATGCCAACAACACACATGCACAAATAAACACCAACAGATAACAACAAACACCAATGAACACAAATACATACAATGTACAAAGACAAATAAACACCAACAAACACTAATGAACACAAACGCCAACACACATGCACAAATAAACACCAACAAATAACAACACAAATGAACACAAATGCCAACAACATACAAACACAAATAAACACCAATGAAAACAAAATGCCAACATCATACAAACATAAAACCTACAAATACCAACAAACACAAATAAACAAGCCGTGTTTTGCCATATTTATGTTTGATTTTATGAGAAATGTACAATGATATCACTCTATTCACTGTTCTAGACTGTTCTCCCCATTCACACTGTTCTAGAGTATTTTCTGCCCATTCGCGCTGTTCTAGAATGTTCTCCTCTGTTCACACTATTCTTGTTTTTCTTCATTCACATTGTTCAAGAATGTTCTCCACATTTACACTGTTTTAGAAAATTTTCTGCCTATTAACACTGTTCTAGAATGTTCTCCCTATGCACACTGTTCTATATTCTAATGTTCTCCTTCATTCACATTGTTCTTGAATGTTCTCCTCCACTTACACTGTTCTAGAGTATTCTCCTTCATTCACTTTGTTCAGGAATGTTCTCATCACATTCAAACTGTTGAATGTTCTTCCTCATTTGTACTCTTCTAGATTGTTCTCACCCCATCCACGTTGTTCTAGAATGTTCACCACCATTTACACTGTTTTAGAATGTGCTCTCTTCATTCACATCGTTCAAGAATGTTCTCCCTATTCACACCGCTCTGGAAAGTTTTCCATCCATTCACATTGTTTAAGTACGTTCTCTTTATTTAACATGTTCTAGAATGTTCCTTTATACTGTGATATCAACCCATCAGGAAAACACAGAATACCATTAGTGGACACCACCAGGAACAGAAACTCTTAAGTAAGCGTTTCTATGATTTTTTCCATCAGGCTAACAAATTACCTTGTGGTTAGTGCGTTAGCCTGGAGCTAACAAATTACCTTGTGGTTAGTGCATTAGCCTGGGGCTAACAAATTACCTTGTGGTTAGTGCGTTAGCCTGGAGCTAACAAATTACCTTGTGGTCAGTGCATTAGTCTGGAGCTAACAAATTACCTTGTGGTTAGTGCGTTAGCCTGGAGCTAACAAATGACCTTGTGGTTAGTGCGTTAGCCTGGGGCTAACAAATTACCTTGTGGTTAGTGCGTTAGCCTGGAGCTAACAAATTACCTTGTGATTAGTGCGTTAGCCTGGGGCTAACAAATTACCTTGTGGTCAGTGCGTTAGCCTGGAGCTAACAAATTACCTTGTGGTTAGTGCGTTAGCCTGGGGCTAACAAATTACCTTGTGGTCAGTGCGTTAGCCTGGAGCTAACAAATTACCTTGTGGTTAGTGCGTTAGCCTGGGGCATTATTAAAGCGGAGCTCTGTTTAATATTTCTGTACTGCTAAAAAAACAGTCTGACTGAATCAGGCTAAACTCCACTGTGCCGTTCTAAAGTCTCCTGTACTGTACTTTTATAATGTGTAATAAACTGAAAATGAAAACATTAACATTAATGTAAATCACCACGGTATTGTAATGAACCAAATTAAGATTTTTGTGAAGTGCTAAGTGCTTTCTATCTAATGTAGTAACAGCATGTTTTTACTGCTGGAAGGCCTGTGCTAAGGGTGAAGTTGGGCAATATGACAATATATATATACTATTATTGCTAATCTTAGATCCTAAATTTTAAAACCTCCAGCAGCACTGCTGTGTCTGATCCACCACCCAAATATTACCTGTTCTGTGGGGGTCCTGACCATTCAAGGGGGAAACAGATGGACTACAAACTGTAATTGTAGAACTACAAAGTGCTCCTGTTTGGTCAGTGGAGCTGATAAAGTAAGTGTAGAAACAAGGAGATGGTTTAATGAAGTGGCTGGTTGGTGTGTATATATAGTTTTGCTGTATCACCCAGCTATAGCTAAGGGTGCGGTTTGAGACGCTGTCACATTATTTCCTCCAGAGCTGCAGGGGTTTCCCCTCTTCAGGCTCATACAAAGAGAACAGAAGTGCACAGTAACAAGTTTACATAAACATCAGTGCAATACTTCTCTGAGTATTTTCAAATTACACTTTTACTTTTGCTAAAGTATATTAGTGAGCACATTTACCTCAGTTTCATTTTAGTCATTAGCATTTAGTAACTAATTTTTTCTTTATCAATTTCATTCTGTTTTGTTGGTTCACAGGATGTGACAGCTGCACAATTTAATATAAGGTGGAATGGAAAATATAGGGAGCAGCAGTGGGATGAAGCAGGTGGTGAGAGACAAATGTTGAGAATTTTAGAACTTTAATTAATAAGTGAATTTTTCCTGAAACCTATTAACGGAAGAATTGCATGAAGAAAAATGCCGTCAAAGATTTTTCCCATGTGCCTCATCAATATGTATTCTGAATGTAACATACATACAAGTACACTTAGAATACATATTCTTCATATTCCTTCACAGATGTATGATAAAATATTATTTACACACCTATCAGGCATCTACGAGTGGAAAATTGGGAGAGTCAGGAGAATTTCTGGTGGGCTCTTAGCACTTTGGGGTGCTTACTGCAAGCTAATGTATTGAATGATAAACTCACATATTACGGCAACGCTCAGACAAACTATAAATGACTCATCCAAGTTTATATCTGTAGCAGGGCAACCGGAAACACAGGGGTGAGCTGGCACAAACAGCCAAACTCAGCAGCAGGACCAGTCAAACCCCCGTTTCAGCTGGGAGGCAGGACATTTCCCAAACAGTAAACCCTTCGTGTTATGTTGATACACTATGTAAATATTTCTTACTGCTAGCGTGCTAAACTAAGGGCTCTTTCACATCTACTTTGTTTGGTGTGGACTTATCAGGGCCATCAAAAGTAGCCCAGCCAGACATGCTGACAGCTTTTTTCCCAGAGCTGAAGCTCATCAACCACAGTGGACACCCCACACTTTAAACATAAACTGAACCATCAAACTTCCCTTACAGTATTACAGAAACTCCTTTGTAGCCTAATGCTATTTTCACAGCAAAAAAAAAAAAACATTTTTTTTTACAAATGTTCATATCATTCTGTAATATTCTATATATAATCGTTTTGTAGCATATTTTATAGTCTATGTCTATTTACACCTGCATATATCCAGACATTCACACATCTCTGTAGCTCCTTTCTCATGGCTCCTCTTAATTCTTAATTCTTTATTCTATTGAGTGTATTTTATTATATTTTCCCTTAGTTAAATACTTTTTAACAGTGTATGTGCTTGTCTAGTCTGTTCAGTGTGTTATGTAACGGAATATGTATTCAGAATACAGAAATTAAGTATCTGTATTCACTCCAAGTTATATTTAATAAAGGCAGTATTCAGAATACAGTTCTACATTTTTAGTAGAATATTTTCAGAATATGTACCCACTAAATTGAAAAAATATTTACCATCTTTAAAACAAATACCACAAATACTTGTTTATCAACTATTTCAAAATGAAAAAAACAGCATGTAAAGACAGACTGCAAAGAAAAACTCCAAAAAGGCTTCTTTACAAACACTGGAGTTCCTGCTAAAGACTGAGTAGACTGATAAACCAAACTGATGAGCCAGTTATTAACCCCAGTGTTAGTAAATCTTTTTAGAGATGATGGAACTGATCAGTCTCCTCAGTAATGAACATGTTCACCACTGATAAGCTTAGCGTCTGTGTTGTACTGGCGTTTTGTGGGAAGTTACCTAATTGACTGAATATCATGGATAGTCAAATTTGCAGGATTCTGTTATTCTTCTTTGCATCATAGAGCAAAATAATGTTGAGAATTTTGTAATGTCATTTAAATGACTGAATTTTTCAGGAAGAAAACTGCCAACCAGTAACATTGTGAGTCTTTTCCAGCTGCTTTATTGAGATGCATTCTAAATGTATTCTAAATATGTTGTCAATACTTTACCTTTTTATATATTATAATGGAATATATTACATACATGGTATTCAGTATTCCGCCATCACTGCTTTTTCAAAGTATTTTGCCCAGCCCTGGTTACATGTCATACATGTGTGACTCATGAAGACTAATTCCTTGTATATGCAACATACTTGGTGAAATGGAGTGATTATGATTCCATCAAACTCTTCCTTTAGTTTGGTCCGTTTTAGCGTGTAAATAATCCACTGTATTCAGGTCTGCACAAAAGAACTGTTTATGAGGAAATTCAACACTTCAGCGCTTTTCTCAGTGAACATCAGTGCCTGTTCAACATTTGACTCTTCACAGATGCTCATATCTTTCCTGCAGCTTGAGCTGCTGTTAATAACAAAAGACGAGCAATTAAATAATAGCGAAGATACTTTTGATTTGGCTCATGGATCACAGAGGGTATTTTTGGCAAAGCATCAGTGACCTGATTGGTTAGTTTTAAATTGGCAACCCAATCATAAAGAAGCAGATATCAATTAAAGTTTAAGGTTTATTACTGTTGCTATGAATGTGATACAAATACACACTTAAAAAAGTAAAAAAAAAAAGTAACTTTAATAAAGACAGTAGTTCTATATCGAACCATGAACACTCAAAGAATCCTTTGCATGATTAAAGAGTTATTCATATGGTAAAAACGTTCTTCAGACTGATGAAGAATGTGCTGCAAATGTGTGTTCTATATAGTAGGGTTTCTCCACCTATGGGCCGCGGACAACCAGCGGGCTGTGAAGCGCCCTCTACTGGTCAATGGGCCTGGGGAGGCAGTAATTCGTAGTGGGCCGGTAACATCTGTACTGTAAGTGATAGAAAACGTGGAAAAAAAATATGTAATAATTAAAAATCTAAGAATGAAACGTTTTCACAATATAACCAATGTAAATATTATTAGGCATGTGCAAATAAAAATGTCAAAAGCGGCTAAATAAACATCATCAATACAGTTGCCATACAGTCAGCATAAGGATCATGGAGAATATATCTGGCTGAGCATCAGCAACCTGAGTGGTTAAACT